AAAATTTACATATTTGGGTTTGTAACCATAGACAGTTTTCCTAAAATATTCCTAATATAATCTCATAAAAAATTTACCCCATCACGGGTACCGTCCAAGAGATTGTATATCTCTGAAAAACTGACATGCTGTAGTTTCGTTTATGTTGAATATTTTTTCATGAAACTTGGTACATATCTATTTCAGAGGACGCCAACTCCAGTGGTGTACGCAGATTTTCTCTAAAAAATTGCTAATATGGATTCTGGATTTTTCAGTCTCTGAATGTGATCTAGTAGGCCTTGGTTTAAAAAACAATTAATGCCGCTTAGGATCAAGGTAAACCTTACCCCCCTCTAGATGAAAAAGAATTCGCGAAAATAGTTCCATAAAAAAATATTACAAAAAATTCCAAACTGATCTCTGAGAGGAAAAATGTTAGGCACTGATCGATTATTTGAAATCGATTACAATTCAGTAGGTAAGTGACACATCAGAACCATAATTTTGTCTTCCAGACCGGTTTCCTGTAACACACAAGGATGACTTGTATGTATATGTCTATTTGAAATTGAATAACTAGCATAATTTGGGAGTCAACAGAGCAGATAACCACGATGAATGAAATTATGACAATCCGGATGAAATTTTCTTGATGACGAACAATAATTTCCCGGTTCCTTTTCTGTCATAATAATGATCTACCGCACATAATGATTATTATACAGGTTGATCTAGATTAGTATCCATAAATTGAGAGATGTGATAGAGATTTGCAGAAAAAAGGAACTCTTTTCAATGAACGTACCTCCAAAAATGCACCATACCTAACCATAACTTAATTCCGGGTTGTTGAAAATTAGTTCATTATTCCATATTAGGGCCATCTAATTGGTCGAAAATGAATTTATTAAATTTTCAAGGAAAATCCGTTTATTTTCAATATTGATGTACACAAATCAGGACCACTCTGTATAGCACCAAGAAATCGTTAACATTTTTTTCGTATCGTTCGTTTATTCGGCAAACAATGGAGAGTAATTTCCCGCATTTTTCCAATAGCTGTTTCCCGATTTCCCGTGCAAAATAATCACCACCTATAAAGCAGGTTGGATCGTTCGTTTTCGGGTAATGATAAATCACTGCGGATTAAAAACCATTCGCATTGTTAATTCTACGTAACGACCGATTATATCAAATGAAGGAATTAAATTGTTGAATAATGAAAACGGTCCCTCGGAATACGCCGCAAAATTATCGGGCTGAGCGGAGACGGACTTGAAGATTTCCAGACCCGTCTCAATGGGCCCCCAAAAATTTCCTCATGGGAGAAATAATATCAAAAAATTGTTGTTATACTCTTCTATCGACGAGCGTGAATACTTGATATAATTTTGTATAATGGAACCAATTTTGGGTGCAACCAATTTGTTGTCGTTCGTGTGCAGAGTGCCTTCTGTTGAGGGTTCAATATTGCTCTTTGTGGCCGAATTTCTGATATAAATCGAATTTTCTCGTTGTTGATGCATTCTGGGATATCGAGAAAACATCAAGAGGGTTCGAGATTCATTCAATGATCCCACAGACGTTCAATTCGAAAACAGGCAGGTGTTCTTGGCATGTTAATAAATTAGGGAAAAGATTACAATTTTGTAACAGTCATTCATGAGTTTGCCGACCATCCCTCTGTATATAATGGCAATAGAATCTAAACTTTTCCAGAATGTGGGTTATTCTTATTTCTCATTATGATCATACCTCGGACATAGATCTAAATATGCCTCGGATAATAAAGATCTGAATGGGAATGGAAACTCAGATGAAATTCAAAGTATACGTGGTATTCGTACAATATATATTTCTCACACGAAATTGTGTATAAAAAAACAAAAACTTGAGTTTGCTAAGGCTCTCGGCATGATAATATACTATACTCACCTCCTAGTCCTTCAATTATTGCATACTTGCATATACAGGGAACCGCAGTGTAATACCGTTTTCATTAATGATCAAAACGCAAACTATCGTTGCCAAAGGGCCCACAATGTATGTTCATTAGCCTGCTACTTAATTCATGAATATTCAGCCAAAATCCCTCGATGCTATGGTATATATGTATAGATATACTTAATCATACCGTATCTACGATATGCTCTACTCTATATTAAACATTTCTGACTTTTTCTCTCTCTTCGAATATTGAATTTCTGAAATCCTCTGAATCCTCATACCAACTTATAACCCCTTTCCAATTCTAGAAAATTCGAGCGTTCTGTCGAGAATATAGGCAGGTCTACGTTGTAGCATAAAACTTCCCGATATATTGACTTTAACAGATCGAAACCCAGTCATTGTAAATCACGTATTGAACCGTGAAGAGTCGGGTTAAACAATCTAATAGGAAGACGGAAAGAACGGGAGCAAATTGAAATGAAAAACATCTTCAATACCTGCGCCAGCATCAGGCTTGGTTGGGTTTGGAGGCATGCCCACAGGCGGAGCATTTTTTTTTCTCCAAATAACATTAAAAGTGGATGTGCCTAGGCCGAAAGAGTTCGTTACTATGCAACGTTCCGAGTAATATTTGGTCAAGGCCAATCTGTTGAGCATTCTCCTCGCAAGACCATCTTGCCCAACTACAATACTTCGGTTACTAGATCTGGTAACATATCTAAGGTTGGGTTACTAAATCTGGTATCATATCTCAGGTTAGGTTACTAGATCTGGTAACATATCTTAGGTTGGGTTACTAGATCTGGTAACATATCTCAGGTTAGGTTACTAGATCTGGTAACATATCTTAGGTTAGGTTACTAGATCTGGTAACATATCTTAGGTTGGGTTACTAGATCTGGTAACATATCTCAGGTTAGGTTACTAGATCTGGTAACATATCTTAGGTTAGGTTACTAGATCTGGTAACATATCTTAGGTTAGGTTACTAGATCTGGTAACATATCTTAGGTTAGGTTACTAGATCTGGTAACATATCTTAGGTTAGGTTACTAGATCTGGTAACATATCTCAGGTTGGGTTACTAGATCTGGTAACATATCTCAGGTTAGGTTACTAGATCTGGTAACATATCTCAGGTTGGGTTACTAGATCTGGTAACATATCTTAGGTTAGGTTACTAGATCTGGTAACATATCTTAGGTTGGGTTACTAGATCTGGTAACATATCTTAGGTTGGGTTACTAGATCTGGTAACATATCTTAGGTTAGGTTACTAGATCTGGTAACATATCTTAGGTTAGGTTACTAGATTTGGTAACATATCTTAGATTCATTATTCCATTTTTTTTTAAATTTTTTTTGGATATTTTTTTTTGAATATTTTTTTTTCTTCATTTTTTTTCTTGGATTTTCTCTCCTCGTTTCTATATAATAAAAATATGAATATTATTTCAATATACGTGTAGATGATTTGCCCCAAAATGTCACTGCGTTTAAAGAAAAGCTTAATGACATCACTCTTGATATAAATGAAACTCTTGTTGGTTTTGATGTAGTAAGTTTATTCACAAATGTTCCGATATATAAAACTTTACAAATAGTGAAACAAATTAGAAGACGATGAAAATCTCACTGAATGAACTAATCTAAGTAACATATTTTCAATTGGGTGATGAGTTTTATCAACAAAACTTAGGAAAGGCCATGGGATCGCCATTATCTCCAATTTTAAGCAATATATTCATGGAGAATTTTGAAAACAACATCGTCAAAAATTACCAAAAAAAAACAACCTAAAACATGGTGGCGATACATAGATGATATTTTCATAATTTGGCCTCATAACATAATGGAGCTAGATAATTTTCTGGATTATGCGAACAATGCCGAACCTACAATAAAGTTCACTTTGGAAATTGAATCTAATAATCAATTACCGTTTCTAGATGTTCTTATTGAAAAATCAAATAACATCTTTGTAACGAGTGTATATCGTAAAAAGACCCATACTAACAGATACTAAAAATTGACAAAGACTTGTGAACACAAAATGATCGATTATTTGGAACATGGTCACTACTAAAACCTGAAAATGAAAATGGTAGATTCAAGATTAACTATAATGGAAACATCCATCAAAGATTAGTGAAAATCTGATATTTTTTCTATATACCTATATACCTCTAATCCAAACTTTTTTCAATGCAAATTGTTAATGACAATCGAATGAATTTTTCTTTCAAAGGCTTTCTAATAGGAACATTTTTAAACGCAGTGACGCAGTTTTGATCTTATTTTGGCATTGTATGGTCCGATTGATGCATAATATATCGTTTGGCTGCAATTATTTTTGGCTTTAACATATTCTGCACTAGTTACGAGGCTAGGGTTTTTGCGCCAGCGATCACTCAGAGAAATAGTAGGTAGTGAATTCCAAACGTTTAGTAAAATAGGCGACAGTCACTACATTCATCAAATAATACCACAAGAAATTTTCATCATACTCGCGCATATTTTACAAAATGTTTGGTATCTACTAACGACTATTTTTTTCAATGATGGTAGGCTGTTTGTTACAAGGCAACAGCTCTAGAACAATTCCTGAGGTATGAATGAGGTATATAAGTGTCCATTCCCAGCGTGATGATCTCACATGCAGCAACTGTGACGAATCCTCACAATCAAAGCATATTCTATGCCAAGAACAATGGGGCTCACCATCTGGTTTGTCCTCAATACATGTATATTGAAATAATACTCATATATTTTTTCTTATAGAAACGAGGAGAAAATTCCAAAAAATCTGGAATAATGAATATACCACCTCCTCGGTTGACCTACAGACAGTACTTGTACTTTATTTTACTTGGCGGAGTTAAGCTCAAATTAGTGTAAGAATAACAATTTCATATGAGTTTTCAATATGTAACAGTAAATTTTTCATACTTGTGAGTTTGTTCATCCAGACTTCCAGAGAGGCATTATTCAGTCATGTCAGAGTTTATCACCTGATAGGAAAGTTTGCGATGACCATTATTTTCTAGGATTATTCAAACATTTCGATAAAAAAATAAATAATCAAATTTATTGAACACAGATAATAACAATAATAACATTCAAGAAACATCGACGTAGCAATGATACCATAGACAAAACAATTTCTTATTTTCTGATATAGGCAGACTGACAGTGTGTTACATATATCTTTCAACATTCTATAATTCTTGAGGTATAAAATTCTTAAATTCGCAACAGCGAAATACCAAAGACACATTCAATGCTACAGGGAGGTACACTGCTCGCCAGCAGTCATGGAATCATCCGACAGCTCTGGAAAACGATATTAGGGGGCAAGATAGATAATCACTCCGGATTTAATTTTCGCGAAAGCTGATTCTGTCTTACTTCTCATAGTGAAACAAAAATATAGGTGATGCCATTGCTACTGACGAGAATTGTATAACAATGAAGAAGAATGGCCATTGAATGAATTTGACGCATGTCTCTTGCTCCTACCCATCCCGGAATCCTACTTCAATAATTCTAGAGGATTTACAAATCGATAGAACATAAATAAATACATACGTACAATTCCATTGCTTAATATTAGTTCAGTAAATGAACAAAAAAATAGAAAAAAAAATCGTGTTTTCGAAAATTTCTGTATAGTGGTAAGGCACAGTGCGATGAACAACATACTAAAAAATTTGATCCTTAGGGGATGACAGGGGCGGTAGGGGTACGTTTGAAGGTAATTTTTTCAAGGTGTTCTCGAATAATTTGAAAATCGCTGCCTCTAGCGAAAAAAACAGGTTTACAAAATTAAATAGCATGAAATTTACAATAAAAAAGTTCCTATTCATTTTTCGCCTACAATGAATAGTTTTTGAGATACAAGGGATGTGATAATCACAGGGAAGATGGATCGATCAACTTACCTACAAACGCTCCCCTACCGTCAGGACCTTTAGTATTTAATTCATGACACTTTTCCCTACCACTGTACAAAAATTTGCGACTACACGATTTTTTTCCTTTATTCAACCCTCTTTGGCGTTCGTTGATTGAACTATATCTTAACTACTTAACTTAACTTATCAACATAATTCGCATTCCTCACTTCGCTTATTCCGAGACCTATTCAAAATTTGCACAATCTCCTGGTAATTTTTCCCTTTGGTCTCGGGCACCATATAGTAAAAAAACACCGCATCCAAAAAACAGAACCCGCTAAATATCCAGATGCAAAAATGAACGCCGAGACTCTCGGACACTAAAGGAAACGCGAACGTCGATACAAAAATCACAGATCCTACCACAGTCGTGATCAAAGACAGGGCCGTAGCTTTGACGTCATTAGGCAGCAACTCGCCCATCACAGCGTTCGGAATCGGTCCCAAACCCAGCGAATAAGTGAACACGTAAACGATGACGCAAGGGATCGGCAACCACGTCACATACTGTACCATCGACGAGTCAGTCTCCTTCCAGTAGAAGTAAAAACCAAGCAGGGATAAGGGAATCCCCGTGAACCCCGCAGAAAACAGGAGCAGAGGTCTCCTACCTACAGTCTCCACTGTAGCTGAAGCTATGAAGAAAGTCACGATTTTAACGGAAGCCACTAGCACAGCTACGGAATCCCCAGACAGCTGAGTGCCCGCTTGGGTGAACACCGGACCCAGAAAGCCCATGATGACCAGTACTCCGGATAAGTGTGGAGCCACGCAAGTACCCAGAGTGATAACGCAAGCTTTCCTCAGCAAGCGTTTCTTGAACAGATCCTTCACTCCTCTCTTCTTGAACTGTTTCCTCTCCCTCAAAGCTTCTTCTATCAGCTGGTACTCTTCTAGTATTTCGCTTGAGCTCCTGTTGCTCCTTAATCGTCTCAATACTGCTAGAGCTTCTGTTCTGCGCTCTTTTGAAGCTAAGAAAACTGGCGATTCGGGTACGAATAACCACAAGCAGATGATGTGTGGTATCAGAGGTAGAGCACACAGCAGATTGAAAACCTTCACGCTAGTAACTGGACCAATGAGGTAAGCGTAGAGGTTTCCCAAAGGCAAAAACACCATCATGAGACACCCTATCCTTCCGTTGTTGTGCTTCTCGGATATCTCATTCAAGAATATAGGCGCTGTCACTATACCTATCCCGTAACAGCAATTGAAGATGGACCTGGCTAGATAGAAGATATAGAGATGTCTAGCGAAGGCTAGCAACACGTTGGCTAGTACCATTAGGACGGCTAGACACAGCAGCGTTCGCTTTCTTCCCAAGATGTCGGGAAGTTTCGGGAATATGAGGGTCGACATTGTTTGCGCTATCAGAGGTATACCGGCTATCATGGAAATTTGAACGGTGGTGACTGGCTGTCCCAAGGGGTTGATTTCGGTGTCGTTGGATTTGAGTTTCGGGATCATAGGGGATGTCCAGACGACTCCGGTGCCGAAGACCAGCATCATCAAATTGACTGAAACAATGTGAAAGGCGGTTAACAGGAATTCTTTAATAAGATGTCGGTTGAATTTGTAAGTAACAGATCTAGTTGAAATTAAGAAATTCAGTATTGCTGAATTCACTGAAGTGAGGGCATAATTGTAAATAAAATAAGTTCTCCTTGGAGGAACAAACTAGTCACTCTTCATTTCCATCAAATTAATCATATTAGAGATTGAGCTTGAAGAGAGATTAAAGAGAGAGATTAAAAATAATAGGTTCCATTCGATTACTAGAAAACCGCCGAACAAAAATTCGAAACATTACAGTGAATTGATGAAACCATGAAGGCAAATGGAATAATGATAACATTTGCCCAATCGGATTTCCAGTGGCGTCGTTAGGTGATTTTTTTTTCACTGAAAAGTGAGCAAAGACGAGAAATTCCCAAATTTTATACGAAACTATGGAAGGCCATTAAATTATGTGCAAAAAAGGACCTTTTGTTAAAACTTGCTTTCGTTTTCTATACAGGTTTTCAAAAGAATAATCTATGTATATTTTCAACTTTAGAGATATAATATGTTTATACGATATTTAGCCCTAAAATAATCCATAAGGAATCACTTCCTTCAATGTGACAATATATGACATCTAGGAACACAGTGTATAAAGAAATCTTCTAATAAGGTTCGGAATTGGGTACACATCGATATTTTTTGTATATGTATACACCAAAACGCTTCAAAGTCGTTATATTTGATAATTCATTGATCAAACGTGAGTGTTTGATAAAAATGTTCACACTTCAAACTGTTTTGTCGGGAATTATAATATTGTAATTAATTAATTTTATACTTAATATGGAACTCATTCAAGTTGGTTTCACTTTTTTTTAAGACAAAAACATAATTTTCGGATAGTAATATAATTGATGTTATAAAAAATGATTCAACCTATTTCAGGAACTGATCAAGTTGACACTAATCAAAAATTTGTAGGACATTATACACAAGAAAAAATATCTCATTCACCAAAATGGAAGAGAAAGATTGATAAAGAAATAATAAAGAAAATTAAATCCGTTTCTTACAAAATCAACATAACATTCTTGTTTTCAACGAGATAAACTTGATTAGGTTCATCTCATAATGACCAACATCAATATTTCATTGTTTTCTTACCTGTCACTGCGCAAAAGTATAAGAATACGGTGCCTTTTGCTTTTGTGTTATTGTCATTATTGGGTTCGAGAGGTTGACTTTTGCACTCATTATCAGTTTCCTCATCTAATTCCATCAAATCATTCGCGGAATAGTAAATATCACTATCGGACATTTCACTGGATCAACTGGAGAATGACAGTGAAGAATTGATTCACGCATCATTACTCATTACATCAAATTATCTTATCTCTAGAGAGACTCATTCTTATCGTTATCAACGTATAGTTTCTTGGTCAAGTGAATCCCTGATTCGATATCATTCCCATGAGAATATACGAGATGAAGTAATAGTATAGACACGTACAGATAAGTGATCAATAACCATAAAAAACACAAAGATTTTATCAATCATTGTAGTATTTATTCTATAACATGCTCAAATTTTCATTGATTTCTAGGAGAGATTAATACATAGACATCCACTCAAAACAATGTTTGTATTGGTATACAGGGCTTTTCACGATGAGCGTTAATTAGACGTTTCTGGCAAACCAGATAACGGATCATTTTGAAAATTCAATAGAGGGCATATTCGGACATTCTCTAGCCAACTAAAATATTTTCGACAATTTGGTGTTGCCGCTTCTATTAGAAAGCAGTAGCAACTTTGATTTTTCAAATAGAACACTCTGTATTTTATTGCATTTTTAGATCCTCCCTGAAGAGCTGATTTCATGGATGTATCACACTTGGGCTCTAGCGGAAATGATTACAGAGATATAGGGTGTGAAAAATCGACATTTTTCAACTTTAGGAATTTTTTTTGTCGAAACTATTCATTATTGGTCAAAACGGCTCACATGTCTCCATCTCAACTTATATGTGCCATACATGACGTGATATTATGCTGAAGAGGAACCAATAAAGAATTAGAAAAGTTCCACAAGTCTTTTCAAGAATTTTGTATAGAAATATGATCGTCAGTTTACTTTATTACATTCATTATAGATTTCCACCGACAGAGTCTATACAAAAACACCCTGCTCTGTAAATATCGAATTGAAATAATTGTAATACGGTAACAGGGGTAACAGCTGTCGAGTTAACACTTTTTTGTACAAACAAAACAACGCATAGAGGAAACATATAATTTAACTTGACAGAAACTACCTGGCGAGAATTATTATTGTATCTGTGTTTGTATTTTCATTGTATGTACCTCGTATAGTGTATAGTCATTCGATATCGTTGTTGATGGAAGATAACAATAATAGGGTGTCGAATTTGGTGAGCCTTACGCGGCTGGTACGACAATCATTCTATTCTGAAGTTTGTTATATTGAGAGTTTGTGCATGAAAAGCAACAGATTTTTCTTGGATTGGTAGGTAGGCTACTTCTTGCTTCTCTACTAATTATTTTTTTATTTCGATACGAATAATGCATATCACCTGTATAGGCTTTTCCAGTTATCTATAGTGTTTAACGTAACGAATCACATCCACATCCACGGCCAACAATCGAAATAGGGACGTAAGTACTCACTTATACTAACCCAGTTTTTTAGTAGCTCCATTGACTTCAAAGCTATTTCAATTGAGATAATCGATCACTTTGGATTGTTTGATGATAATTAGAAAATATGCCACTCATTTGTGTCCACACTGGTTACTGACCAATACTTCTCCAACTATCTCGGAAACGAATCATTTTATCGAAATTTCACAAGGGACAAAAAATGATCTGGAATGTATGATTATCACGAACAAAATGTGATGAAAAACTTGAAAGATTAAGTTTATGCTCGTAACTGATTTTTGAGCCATCATTCTGTGCACATGAATTTACTATCAAGAAAGAGAGAAACCGCAATTGCAAATAAAAAGAGACGTGTACGAGCGTTTTTCCAAAATGAAGCCACTGATGCGGATTTTGAATAAGTATAGGTTATATAACCCCATACAATCTCATTGTATCGTTTTTGACGAGGATTTTGACGATACAAGAAAGTCCTCCTTGGCATTTGGGCGTAAGTATCTGATAAAAATAGGTGCAGGCCCCCAATCCTCCCATCAATTCGATTTCAGATACCATCTTTTGCGAGATATCTCAATTATCTTTGGAATTATTATATAAACTATTTACTTCGAATCAAAAAATATGCATTTCTTAAATATTGTCTCTTGGTTAATCGAATAATCAAGTAAAATAAAAATATGCAACTATTATACAGGGTGTTTCCTAACTACGGTTCCTAACTACAGGGGGTGAATTGTTAGGTCATTTTAAGAAGAAAAGTTTCTATAAACATATGTCCGGAGTTGCTTCGTTTCTGAGATACAGGGCGATGAAATTAAAGAAAACAAACGATAATTATGAAATATCATGAATATCCTGGAACCGATATGGTTGAAATTTGGTACTTTTATTTATAAAATTTTCTAAAATTTCAGCATATCAAGTGTCAATTAAATTTTTGGCGTAGATAATGAAAAATTAATTTCTCTAATGCAAGTGTTCATGATATGCAATACTATGGCTTTCATTTTTTTTCTCGAAAACAAAGCTGGATATGAAGGAAATGCAAGAGACCAAAAAGTTTTATTTTGAGTTGCTCAATGAAAACAAAATGAAAATTCACCAAAAAAAGACAGTGGCGTACTTTTTTTTCACAATATTGATGTCTGTGGTGCCCATTGAGACGCCACTGGCCCCAATAATTTCAATATAAATAGATCTAAATAAGCGCCTTATTAGTTCAAATGAAAGTACCAAATTTCAACCAAATCGGTTTTAGGATATTCATGATATTTTATAATTACCGTTTTTTTTCTTTAATTTCAACGCCCTGTATCTCAGAAAAGAAGCAACTCCGGACATATGTTATAAGAACTTTTCTTCTTAAAATGACCTAACGAATCACCACCTGCAGTTAGGAACCGTAGTTAGGAAACACCCTGTATATGTTTGATGAGCTATAGGAAATCTGAATCGAACTGGATAGATAGAAAACTAAATTTTTACGACTTCATTTTCTAAAAATAGGTCTATGGGACACACTGTACATACAAGTTAGTGCACAGTATTTCTCCCTACCCTCCTGTATGTATCCTGTATCTCGAGCACGGGGAAATTCAATTTTCATTATGGACGCATCGATAAGCGGCCGTTAAAGACCATAAATTCGGTCAGTCCGATCCCAACGGGAGGCCACCCTTTTAGCTAATTCCACCAAATAGATCCGTCAAGGGTGCGTCCCTACGAGATCTAGGGCGGTCTCTCAGGTATGTACATACATACATTGTTATACCGGCTGTTAGATAATATAGTGTGTGCATATCGATTTTCATGAAGGTGTGGGAAAATTATTGAACCTTCTCTTGCGGTATCAAAACCAGAACAGGCCATAAATGAGAGTAGAGCGAAAGCAAAATTTGCGAGTCAAACAAAGTCACTTTTGATCCGACTGAAACATGCTATTTTTTCTGCAACCGAAACAATAACCTAAGTCAAGTTAATGTGTGAAGTAACCACCAATGCCGTGCCATATGTATGCGATGCAACAAATAATCCGTGTGGTGAGAATATTCTACCTGCATTAACAGCAGGTTTATTCAATTTTCAAGAATTGTCGAATTGTAGTTTCAAAATAAACACAACCACAGAGTGACATATTTGTGTATGGACCAGGTGCTCTAATGGCAAATACCGCGCCAAGAAATGTTATAAAAGCACAGCACTTAGAAAAAAGTGAGATAATTTATTTTTTCATCCATCTAAATATCAAAATATGGTCAGTGCGGTAAAGTTACATTAATTTTCATCAAAGAGAATGCGAAGTACCTAACTCCCTGTATATTGATTGGATCGGTACCACATGTTTTCCATGTACATTCACTATAGTAAATTGCCCTATGAATTTCATAGCGGTATCTTTCAAATCTAATCGTTTGTAATGTTTTTTTCAAACTTGTTTCATTTGGTTATCCCAATAAATTCTCATTCAACATTGATTATCCTTCTTTGGCCAACAAGGAGCAATTCCTCAAGACAGCAAACATTACCTAATCTAGACCGAACCAAATTTCTCTCTGCAAGCAATCTCAAACTAATTGGAAAGGTTTTCAAAGTTTGGTAAGTTGTATGATTGAAAGGAGAGCACGCCCATGTAGTATATATAGTTCCTCAGTAAACTTCGCCATAATCCTGGGAAAACGTCTGCGGAAACCCAATCAATTCGTCGATTCTCTTCCTTCGATCAATACCCATCTAAATATTGTGTACCGAGTAATCGACAATAATTATTTAACCAACTCGCACGTTAAAATATCTCGATCATTAATCGCCTTTCAATATACGAGTTGGTAACAAAATTTTTCCGTCGACTAAATTTCTCATTTCTCCTGCAATGAAGAAAACTTGGTTCGCGAATTCATCATTCATCCGGAAACTACTAAGAATCACCCAGTTGCCTTGTCACTGGCATTAGTGACATTTGACATTTGTCGAAATGATCAACATAGAAAATAAATTCCTTGTGTTAGAAAACAGGGATTAAATCGTTTCAGAAACTTGGAAAGGCGAACCCGTTAACGGAAAATCTTCGATGAAATCCATATTTTCGATTCAAATGCAGATTCCGTAAGTTATAGCATAAACAATGAATGCACACAGTGTATGTTTGGTTGCCTATAAAACAATCGTGCATTAATAGACAAATTGATCATTAATAGGGATCATTAATGAACGATTTCATAAACATCAACTCCCTCGTTAATACGTGGTCGACGGAAAAATGCATTATTACTTTTCTTCAAATTATTTTATTGAAAATGGTCGACCTGTCATATACCGGATTGTCCAAATCCAGTGTCCGCAGTTATGGGTAACTTCGTTTTTGTATAGGAAACAATAAAATTATTCTATTCGCCCAATAGTTTCATTTGTACTACTCCATCAATAAAACTATTGTATTTCTAAATGAAAACTTACCTAGTAGGCGAGGTATAATATTGTCTGTCCACTGACCAAAAATATGTCAGCGCTGGTTTACTGAAAAATGTCAATAGTTCCTTTGTTTCAATTAAATATTTGTCATTTTGAGATTGAAGTTTTCATCTTCTATTTTTTACAATAATGGGCTTATATCACAAAAAAAAATTATTTCATAATTCGATAGAACCCATACTCACCACCGCAAACCGTTTCGT